ATGAGTGATAAACAAGATAAGATATCCTTCTTCGTGTGCAGGTCTCTTTATCCCAGTTCTTCTGGGGCTACATGGCTTCCCAATGGCGCAGTTATTGGAGTTCCTTTATCATTCTATTTTAAGCACGAGGATGATCTTGGGAGGTTTGGTGAAATCTGTTTCCAGGACGGCAAGGTTCCTATGCTGTTGCAGAGCAGGTTTGGCCAAAAATTTATCCATACACAGCTTTCGTCGGACGATAACATAGCATTCTGTATTGGTCGTGAGCTGGTTCATCTAAGTAGTTCTTTTGATATCGCGTCTGACGTTTTCTTTGCCCCATCATGGCTGATTGCAACGTACGCAATATCAAGAAGGACACGAATCGTTATACCCAGAGCTTCAGCTCTTGTGGACGGCATTGTCAAAGTCACATTATATTTGCTTAGCTTTGCTTGTTTTTGGCCAGTAGAGCGTCGCCTTAACCATTACAGAGAATTCAAGGCGGATGAAATGTCTGCTAGGTGTGATCTTGATGTGGCTAAAGGTGGGGTTGATTGGGTGTTGAAGAAAAAGAGATTTCTGTCGCTTATGAAATCTATACAGGGGGGACATGAATCAAAAGAAATGCTTTTTAACACTGTAGACTCTACTCATCCAAAGTTACTAGATCGATTGAGGAGACTGGAAGTAATTGTAGATGAAAAGATCAAAGGTGCAAGGTAACCATCTGACCTTGAGCTCTGGTTGTTAATTCTCCTCTTTTGCTCATTACCTGTATTCTCATTACCTGTTTGCTGGATAATGTATGGGTATTGTAGGAGGATGTTAGATGTTAATCATTTCCAGGAAATAAAGGGTTAAAAAAATGTGTTGTTTTTGTGTCAGAAGTAGGTTTCGCACAAAATTTTAATATCAATAAATTTTCTTAATCAGTTGTATAAAATTATGCAGACAGTAATAGAGTTATGGCACTTGAAAATTGCATTTTTATTATAAATGTAATTAAATTTAATTTACCATCATGGTAAATAAAAATATTTGAAAGCTGTGTCCTGATTAATGGTTAACATTCAAAGCATATGCTGTTTGAAATTCTCTAAAGCAGCTTAATTCTCCATGATCAATTTTATGATAACAATATCTATCTATTTTATACCTGCATACTCTCACATCTACAGAGTGAAAACCTCTGTCTCATGCAAGCTCACACTCCTTTACCAATTTCCCATGCTGAAAACTTGAGTTTGTATCTCATGAATTTATTAAAGTGAGCTGGTTAGGTTACCCAAAATTAATTTTTCATGCTTTTTTCGAGAAATCGCTGGTGAGCCTTGCAATCAATCTGATTGGCTCTCATCAGAGCAATTTATTCACAAACTACACCATTTTATGCATTAAATCCTAACTTTTTCCCAACCAATGAGGTAACTTTACACACGAACCAATCAGATTTCAAGGTTTGTTTACAAAAAAAAATCCATTCAAATAGGCCATTTTACAGTTGTGCGCTAAGTTGCCAAGCCTTTGATTTGGAGAGAGGTTGAAGGTGACCTTGTTGTAAGAGAGACTAGTACCTCTTTAGCATGATAACAAAGCAATTTTCATTTGAAAAACAGCCAGGTTTGTATCATAACAAGGTCACCCATAGCCTCACTCCTGTTCAAAGGCTTAGCAGCCAAGCATGCAACTGTAAATTGGATTATTGGGAGGAAAGTAGAGACAACTAATGCATCTTTTAACCCAACCAGCTCAATACTGGATCAATCTATTCGAATGACAAAATCCAGTGATTATTACAATAGATGTAGCATTTATAATAAGCAGAAAAATAAGCATTTTTCCTATCATTATAAATTGAACTTCCAATGCTTTGTACTTTAATTAACTGAAGATGATAGAAGTTTCAGTTGAAACATGTTTTACAAACTTAAAAGTTTTGTTGTTTTCTTCAAATTCTTGACTTGCCTGCTACTATAACGACCTTTTATTAAGTATATATAATAACTAAATTTTCATGAAAAGGTGTTGGAGATGTTCGTGAAATGGAAATGCATATGCTAATTTTTTGGCATGCGCTGTACATGTTTTTCTTTGTAATTCAGTACATGTTTTAAATTTCTGACAACTTATAAGACTACAAAATCATTTTGTGAAATTTGAAGAGAAAGTGAAATAGAACCATTTTGAAACATACCTATGTTTACATAACAGTGACCTGAACCAGGTTGAGTCCGCAGTTCTCCCAGTGTCACGCGGTTTCTCCCTCAAAAATGTAGTTAAAATATATCAAAATAGCGGCTGCAATGAGGGCCTAAGTTTCTTTGATAATCAGTGTGTTAAGTCTACCAAATGTTCTGAAGAACGTTTTAAAAAACTTTTATAAACGAAAACATTCACTTTGAAAGACTTTGCTTTAATTTGAAACTTTTATCGTCGGTGTTTCGATCGGCTACGGTCACTCGTATTTAAGAGATGGCTGATTTCATTTCTTGAATAACAAGGACCGGAACCAGATCAATTCTTGATGGATGTTTTTTAAAGCTGCCCTAGAAATTTGTTTCTTTTCCTGGATTCAGGCATGGTGGTAGTGCACAAGAGGACCTCAAGGCTCATGGAAGGGTGCGTATGTGCATCAAATGTGTTGCTTACAAAGACAGTGTTCCTTTATTTGCATCACCATGTTTTCTGAAGTTAGCTAACCTATATGAAGAAGATCTGTAAGGTGAAATAGGTGAAGAAGTATGTAAATTAGCGCTGGATTACAAGCGGACCGCTGTTCATCTTAATCCAATCGAATTTAATATAATTATTGATACCACCTAAAAGTGCCCTGTTCTTTTCTGGAACATTTTGGCACTCCAAAAGTTTATGGCCAAGGATGATGAAGGGAATCCCATCAAATTCTAGATACACTCCCTTGATTTCCTGCACATCTTTCCAGTAAATGCGATGCCTAAGTTAACTACTTTTTGTTGCCTCTGTGTCCTCTGTAATTACTGTTGCATTTAAATGCCATTTAAATGCAACAATAATTATATAGTTTACATAGTGAACAGGAAAATACACTCAAACAGTGGAAGAGTCATTTTGCACCAAATGCAATTTTGTAGCAATTGAAATAGTGCTCTACCGGATAACTGCTTAGAAAACATATCTTTTTTGTGTGTGCACTGGGTAACACAATGAGGAAAAATATGAAAGATTGCATGAATGGAAACATGACATTGTTTTGAAAGGAACTAATGTGAAGTGAATGAAAAACAATTTGGTGTACTATAGCTAAAAAGATAGCAAAATGATTGTTGAATATTGAATCTGTTCTTACTTTTAAAATATGTCTTAGAATTCAGAGCAGTTATGCACCTATAATCAGCTATCCGTGGGAGGAACCCTGCTGAAGTTCTTAATTTCCCTCTCCTATGCCAGACATGGGAGAATCAAAGTTAAGAAAATGTCCCTCTAAGAGGGGTAGTGTTCTTAAAAAAGTGAGAAGCTGCATTCAAATTTGTTGCATAAATTAAGTTGGCCTTTACAATTTTTTTTTTTTTGGGGGGGACCCAGCTCAAGTTCTTAATTTCCCTCTCCTATGTCAGACATGGGAGAATCAAAGTTAAGAAAATTTCCCTCAACAACAGTCAACTGACAACAAGTTAAGGTTGATATTGAGTTAGGGGAGGGGTAGGTGGGCAGTTGACCAGATACTGATATTGATCCAATTTTTCTTTGAAAAGGCTCCATCTTCAGGTAATTTGATTTATTTTTATTGTAAAGAGGGGGTAGGAATATACAATAAATAAATAAGCAAATAAGTCAATGAAAGCTAGAAAGAAAGAAAACAAACAAAAAGATCATGCTGATGTCAAACTTGCAATAACGGGTCTTACCTACTGGGGAATTTCTAAAACCTTTAGTCTGGTATGCAATAATAGATGAGGTAGTTTTATTGACTCCATACACCTTTATAAGTTTAATTGCATCTTCCAAGTTAGTAACGTAACCAGAATACTCAGGAAAGTTCACGGAGTAGAGTTGACTCCATGAAGGACACGATTTTACCGCCATTTTCTTCAAATTTGGCATTTATCTTTGTTTGCAGCATCCGTAGACCAAAACGACCGCCGTAAAAACTCACCCCTCCCCTCCACGATCATCAAGACATGACCTAGTTGCGGTCCTTGTTATTTATGAAATGAAACTGTGGATCTCTTAAATAACAGCGATCGTAGCCGAAACAAGGGAGAACAAGACTTCACCCAATTTAAGCTAAATATTTTATTTCAAGAAAATTCTTCCTGCGCCGATTTACCCGGTACTACCTATTGAAAGGCTCTTCAGAACATTTTCAAGAAGAATTACGGCAATCTTCGTGGATAAAACCAGATCGAAGTGCGCAACACATCCACTGCCATTTTGATGTGCATTAGGGGTGTTTTCTGGGAAAAACCGCGTGACACTGGTTCAGGTCATTGTTATAACCCTTACCTCTCTCAAACATTCCCACTCCCTCAAGAACTTTAAGAATCCTCTAAAAGAACGTCGGCATAATAATTTTATTAATGATCTTAACTTTCTCAAAGAAACATGTATGGTATCCCACAAGAATCAAGATTTTAAATATTTTTAGTATTGTAATTTTTATTCCCATAAGAATCAAGATTGTAAAGATCTTCAGTATTGTTATTTTGAAAAAATTTTTATAATAGTACACCTAGATAGCTTTAGCTGAATAGTCCATAGTTTAGTCCGTAGGCCCTTAATTTAAGAATCAAGATTTTAAATATTTTTAGCATGTAATTTTGATTCGATTTATTAATAGTATACTTAGATAGTTTTAGCTAAATTCCGTAGACAGTAGGTCCACATCAGCCTCTGGCTGCCTTTAATTTAACCCACTACACCAAATAAAGTATGCATGTAGGTCTTGCAGTTGCGTGCTTAATTGCCAAGCCTTTAAACGGTAGTGGGGCTGCGCATGCACGAAAGCTTGAGAACAATTAGATGGATTTCCGAACGTGTGTCTAGCGAAAAGCGAGGAAGAAGAGGTTTAATTCCTAACCATTCCAATGCGTAACACAAATTAAAGAGGGATTTTGAAGAAAGATTAAACCTTGGTCTTATTTGATTGTGAGATATCCGAACTGTTTTTAACGCGGACGTTTCGTTTCGGTGACGAAAGCAAATGACAAAACCTTTCTTCTTCCCTTGCTGCAAATCTACCGTTCGCTGTAAACAAAGACCTGCTGTCGTCATAAATATCTTGTGTGGCTCTGGTTCTTCCTTTCTTCACACATTTCCCTCGGTTTTCACCAGCACTGACTCCATCAAGAGCACAACTAAGAATAACTACAACCAGCTTGGCCAAGTTTACGGACGACTTCATTACGCCGCCGTGCAAAGTGTAAAAAAAAAGTACGAGAATGTAAACTAACTCAAAGTGGGTAAATTCGAGAACAACAATTTGTATAAATCTCGGCCTTAGAAACGTCGAACTTTGATTAGAAACTGCGAAAAAATACGTGTCACTCAGATTATTCATGTTTATATACAATAACAAATTATCCATCTTGCTGGTAGTTACGAAAAGGAAGACCCCCCTACGAAAACGAAGACCCATTACAAAAATGAAGACACATTACTTGCAAATTGATCCATTAGTGGGCTGCCTTCCCACAAAAACGGGAAGCTTTTGGGCAACTGTTTGGGCCACGCACGCCACGTGGATAAAACCGCGTGCATCGTAAATTTGAAGACGGCACTTCAAAGCTTCTCACTGCTACTTCATTATCAACAGTATCATTCATGAAATGTCACTCAAATGAGTTTCCGGAAACAATAAATACAAAGCCTTTTATACAAGTTTTGTCTTGTGTGTTTTGCTGCTGGTAAAAATGTCATCGCATTCTTTGATTCGCTTAATATATTTGCTTTACGTTAAAAAAAGAGCTAAGGAAAACACAATTAAAATCAAACCAATACAGTTATCCTATTTCAGTTGATGGAATATATGAATTCCATATATCATCTCCTTGACAGTTATCTTATGTAATGTTATCTTTACTTCTAGCGCTTAAAGCGTCACGCAACGTATCTTCCATATGCAAGTCGTGTCTTTTCTGTTAAATCTCGTTTTAGCTTAAAAGCAGTCCCAGGCTCCATGAAGGCTCCTTGGGGCTCTACTGTTGAAATATTCCGTAATAAATTACAGAGGTACCAAATTCAGAATTCAAGATTTCCGTAAGGATCTTCATTTTCGTAGTGTGTCTCATAAACACAATCTTTGTCCTCAAAGGTAATACCAACCTCTTTTGAACTTGTTTTAGTAATGTGTCTTCGTTTTAGTAATGGTCTTCGTTTTCGTGATGTGTCTTCGTTTTCGTGATGGGTCTTCGTTTTCGTAGGGGGTCTTAGGTCTTCGTTTTCGGGGTCTTCGTTTTCGTAACTACCCCATCATGATTCCTCATGGAGACTCAGAATCTTTTTCTTTATCCCACGCTCGTGACAAGGCGAAAAACATCTTTCTCTTTTTCTTTACCGAGCTCAAAACTTAACGTCTCTCTTATTGTATAAAAATTAATAAATTATTATTGTTTCCAATGTAAATTATAATGCTAATTAGACACTGGTCTGTATCTCGTACACCGTACGTCAGGGTCACCTTCAGCCTCACTCCAAATTAAAGGCCTGGCAACTAAGCATACAACTTTATATAAGTATTATGAGCGCAGTTGCGTGTTGACTTATAAAACGTTAACAAAGAAACGTAACAATGGCTCAACAGGAAATTTTTGAAGTTATGGCACCAGTTTCTGTAGAAAAAATCTATGGGAACGAGGGAGTAGGAGCGCACCAAGACGTAAATGTGTGGAGGGCTCAAATAGATTCCATCCCTCAAGGTGTTTATATGATCGGGGATGTTGCATTCGGAGCACATACGTCTTCCTTTCCTCTACACGCTGTGGTTCTGGTGAAGCCCTTGTTCGAGTACGACCATCTTGGCGACATTATCAAAGCTCCGTGTTCCTACGAGGAAATTTGGACCGGCAAGGGGTCCAGGGGTCGACAGGATGGCTCCTTTTGGCGAGTGCATGCTCCTCCAGGCTATGTAGCCTTAGGTGATGTGGCATGCAATAACTGGTCTCAGCCGACCCCTGAATTTACCTCCAAGTATGCCTGCATCCGACAAGATTTGCTTTCTGCCCATGCTGAGCTGTCTTCTCCCGCTTTGTGGACCGATAGGGGCTCCGGAGCAGAGCGAGATGTTTCTCTATGGACAGTGCGAGGCTTTTACCAGCCGACTGGATGTTTTAAAGCCCATAAAGGTTACCAGAAACCAAATTTGGAAGTATTCACTCTACCAGTCGCCAAGATATACAGGAAGGAGTGCTCCAATAATCTGAATAACTAACTTTTATATCGATGAAGGTAGTGCAACTTAAGAACTAACTGCAATCGCTTTTTAAAAGAATAACAAAACTTGTTCATCGCCGGTTAAAGAACCTTGGATAGCACTAGGTAGGACAAACAGGACACTCTTAAATTTGCTTAGGAACACTTAACTTCGATTACTTGGACTTTGGAATTTGCGGGTAACTCGCTATATCAGCAAGAAATATTTAGCGTACGTCATTTTGGATATGCAGTTCCATAGATTTTTCTCAGTTGTGTATGAGCATTATAGTATCGATCACAAAGTCTTTTTTATATTGAATTTGAAGCTGAATTTTGGCTACTCAGAATGAATCATTACGACTTGGCGGGGGTAGAGTAAGCTAAAACCTTTGTAGTGTTCACTGAGGTATCAATAAACCAAACACCGATCAATTTCTGAATAAGACTAGACTGTCATCATTTCTTTTATGGCTCAACTATGCGTCTTAACCGAAAGCTACTCAAAAGCAAGACTCTTTCTTTGTTAAGATCGACTCTCGCGTTTCCCTCGAGACACAAAAATCATAGTGACAACACATTTCCGGTATTTCTCGGAATTCTCAGTCATTTCTGCTCCTTTTAGTATGGTTTTCAATTTCATAATCGGCTGATGTCTTTTTTCGGTCGAGTTAAATCATGTTCGGTTTTTTTCTCACGAGAAGATCTAAACCAAGGGAATTTAATTTTTATGGTTACTGCCTCCTAAAGGGGTGAAGCCATAATGTTATCCTGTTGAGCGAGTGAGTGTTATAATAGAATACGAACGACCTCTTCGTTGACAACGAAGTCGGCCGAGTTTTACTGGATATTCCTCGCTCTTGGCTTTTCGTTAAACACCTAGTGACGATTTCTTCGAACCGCTTCGAATGTTACGCGGAATATTAGCAGGTGATCACACTGTTTTTCGGTGCTAGTTATTGTTTGTCTCGCAGTGTAATACAGAAGACGATAAACATTTCACAATCATTTCAGAATGGCGTGTGAAAAAAGAAAGCTGTACCTTGCAGAAATGTCTCAAAAGAAGTGATCGGCGCATCATGAAAATTTAAGGGAAAATTTTTCTTTACATAGAGATAATTTTATCGTTTGAATCAGCGAATTATTCCCAGTAGATCCGAAGATATAATTTTTTCAGTTCTAACCGCAACACTATAATAGATGATAAACATCTCAAAATAATTTCACAGTGGTGTCTCTGGCACGTAATTGAAAAAATATATTTTTTCCTCGCAGAAATATCTATAAAATAGGTTTGATCTGCATATTGTAGAAACTTGAAGAAAAATTTTTTTTATTCGCAAATAGATAATTTTACCATTTCAATCAGTGACAAATTCTCAAAAGAGCCGCTAAATTTGCGAAGCGAGCAAGGACGTTGACTTCAACAGGGTGAGGCCATTCGATGGAGTGGGCTTGCAACCGGGCTTAGGAGCCTGGGGCTGAATTTTTAGACTAGTTTTCAGATCTCCTGATTATGACAACTCAAGATGGCGGCTCGCACGTTGAGTATGGACAAGATACTGAGATCTCTTGTTGGTGTAGGAATCGGAGGACTGATTATTGTCAGGGGCTCAGCTGAGTTATTTCCGCATCTTTATAAGCAAATCTATGGCCTTAAAGATGAAAAAGGTGCGTTTGTCGCAGTACCCGACCGTTGTCGAGAACAACTGGATGTGGTTGCGGAAAGATATGGTGTTAAAAATGTGAACAATGTTAACTTGTTTATCTATCGAGGTTTCCATGGTATTTCACTTGGATCATCTTTACTTCCCGCTGGAGCTGTAATAGGTTTACCAAGGTGGTATTTGTTTCAGAGTGAAGAAGATATTCGCAACTCCGGCCTTAAATTCGGAAAAACAGTTGGTTGGGACTCTGAATTTGGTAAGGCAGTGTCTGAAACATTCCTTCCAACAGACGACATGATAGCATTCACAATTGGCCACGAGCTCGCTCATACGGAGGAACATTTTCACTTAAAGTTATATCACACGTTTGCACCCCCAACGTGGCTGTATATTACGTACAGAATTTCTAATTCGACGTCGAAAATTTTTAAACATCGATTTGATTTGCAAGCTCTTTTTTACCTTGGCATCATTGGAGTAAGCCTATTTACTTACACGCGCGTTTACCAAAAGTTGCGCCACTTCGCAGAATTCGATGCAGACGAAGTATCTGCTAAATGTGATCCTCGTATGGCACGAGGTGGCGTTGATTTTTTTGCAATGACATTGAAACGAAACTTAATGCAAAGAGCATTGCTTGGAAAGGAAGGAGAGAAAAGTTTCACAGAAGAAGGGAATTTTATAGCACGTTCTTTAATATCAACGCATCCACCCTTCACTGATAGACTTGATAGAGTGAAAAATATTCTAGAGTCATCCCCAAAGTAGTGTTTGTCAAGTGACATTTCAGGCCTGTAGACAGATTTTTATGAAGGGGGAGGGAGGTATTTGAGGACTGGAGACTTGAATTGACAATTGCAGAATGCACAAGATTCTTGGAGGGTTGGGAGGTAGGTTCTCCCTGCAAAATTTTGAAAAATTGGGTTGTCTAAGACTGCATTTTAAAGAATGTTACTTCAAAGAAAATTTCTAGGTCAAAAATTAATCTCTGAGTAATGTGTCAAGCTCAAACCTCTTTGAATGCTTCCTACTTTCTTTTGATTCATCAATATTTAGTAGATGGACTTTTGTGGCCTGTGTGGGAATGTGTATACAACTGTTGTCCCTGCCCATAGGCCTGCATTTGGATGAAAATATTGAATTTTTTTACCTTGTGTAGCTTGAGTGACTTGTTCAAGTGGAAGCAGAGTGATGGCAGCTGAGAGAAAGAGGAGTAGGAATAACTTTTGGCTTCTCAGTAAGGAGTCATCTTTGAGATTAGAGTCGCCTACCCAAGCTAGACATTTGACTTTACTTGAGATGTCATTATCAGTGTTGTAATAATTTTAAGAAAAAGGGTTCATGTCATGGATTTTAACTGACGTGTTGTGCCCTTATCAAGACACTCTCAAGATCCGCTTATGTTGTTAAGGGTGTTAAGTAACAGGTTCACATACATTTTCTACAGTCAATATTATTGTAATGGCTATCAGGTTTCAATCACCCTTTTAACATTTAAATTGTAAGTTTTAGTTATTATTTATAATTTCTGTCAATTTGTATAGTTAATCAGGACTACACATGACAGAAATTTAAAAATTTTTTTTTTGCCTCTAAGTACTCACCCCTTTCCTCTTCTGTTGATTTTATAAACCTAACACACTCTTCTAGCATTACTGACTTTTTACTAGAGAAAAATCCCAAATTGCATCTCTTGTGATGATCTGAGAGTTTTAAGCACAGTGTTGGATTAAACCAAAACTTGAAAACCAAATACAGTGTGCATCTAACTCTTTCACTTCCAAGATCTCATTAGTAAATCTCCTTACTGCCTTGCAAACAATTCTTATGATGCTAGCTCGGAGAATTTGGTATTAGATGAAGTGATAGTCCCCCCTTATTGATATTATCCTTTCTTGTCATCACTTGTCTGCATGATACTGTATTGATTTTGTGAGGAGAAATTATTTCTTGGCTGGTCACTTAAAAGAGTTAAAAAAGGTTTTTAGGGCCTTGCAAGCTAAAGTTGTTCAGTGCAGTTGACATGTCTCTCTCTTGATTTTGAAAACATCATAATATTCTATGAATAAGGGGAGAAGGGGTTGGGGAATTGACAAGAAAAGATATGGGTCCCAGGGGTAGGGTTTGCTTCAGCTTAGCACTGAATGAGGTGGTGAGGGAGGTGGTTTGTTGGAGGAAACAAGCATTTTTAAAATTCTTGTAAGTTTTGGTGACAAAGATTTTTAAAAAAAAATTTGCACTGGATTTAATAATTAATTTTGTTAATTAACTCTTTAACTCCCATGAGTGATCAAGACTGAGTTTCTCCTTACAATATCAATACAGTATCAACCAGATAAGTGTTGTGAAAAAAGAAAAATATCAATTTGGGGATAATTAGTTGATCCAATATTAAATTCTCTGAACTAAAATTATAAGAATTGTATGATTGATGGTAAGGAGAATTGCATATTTTATCTGGGAGTAAAAGGGTTAAATACTGAAAGGTGGTCTTTTGTGCCGCAATGGTTACTGCAGACAACAAGCCTGTTTTCTTTATGTGTCTTTGAGCAATGAAAGACATGGAATTTGGGTAAAAATCGTTAAAAATATAAAGTAAAATCATGGAGAAAGCTTGTTGCATCTAGCTCTTTACCCTAACATCAGTATGAAAACTCTCCATGGTATTCTCTTTAAATTTCCTGAATTGCTGACAAAGAGGATCTATTGAACAATCATGGCCTTCTTTACCTGGTAATCATGATAATTTTCCTTATTCTTCTGATCTTTCTTAATGTTTGATTCAGGGGTCATTCTGTAAGGAAAAATTAGATGTTAGCCACTATTGGGAACTGAGAATTTTTTTACCCACCCCACCCTAGTTACAAGCTCTCACCACGAAATGGACTGGAGTGAGTGTAGAGGAGTAGTCGCCATATTGGATTATCAACACGTGCAGAACTATTTTACTAATATTAGCAAGCATGGCGAGTTTTGGACATGTTATGGAACTTGTAGGAAAGGTTGCGAACCGATTCATTGTCATATCCGTAGGATTTGGTATCGGTGGACTTTTTATTTACAAAAACGCGGCCGAGGCCTTCCCGAATCAAGTGTGCAAACCTATCGTTGGCCTGAAGGACGAAGATGGCAGCCTTTTGAAAGTCCCTGAGCGAATAAGAACACAGTTCGATGTAGTGTTGAATAAGCTTGGTTACACGAATGCCAACAAGATAAGCTTGTTCATAAATCAGGGTGTACATCCGATGTCGGTGGGTTCAACTTCCTTTCCAAACGGAGCTGTTGTAAGCTTGCCAAAATGGTACATTTTTGAGAATTACAAAGACATAGAAACGTGTGGAATTACGTTTCAAGGAAGGGACATCAGATGGGATTCTGAACTGGGTATAAAGATCAAAGAATGTTTGCTGCCTAGTGATGAAATGATAGCTTTTTGCATCGCGCACGAGGTTGCTCAAACGCAGCGATTGGATTACAAGGCTATCAATGCCGTCCTTGCACCAACGTGGTTGTACTTGACATATAAGCTCGCCTACATTGGCCCAAGGATGTTGCAGCTTCACGCAGTGCTGGATATACTCTTTAAGCTTGTCCTTTGTCGTTTGAGCTATCTTTGCTACAAACAAGTGCACATGAAACTATATCATGATGTAGTTTACCAGGCTGATGCTATGGCTGCAAAGTGTGAGCCTAGAATGCTTCAAGGTGGGATAGATGTATTCACTAAGAAGATAGAGTTGAACCGTATTCGACGCAGACTGATGGGGAGGAAAGGACACAACTGTTTTACAGAGGAAGGGAATGACATTGAATCTCGCATATACCCTCTATTGACAGACAGGCTTAAGCGATTGAAGGACTTAGAAAGAGGTACTGCTCTTGTTACAGGGGTATGAGTAGAGTTTCTTGTTGAGGTTCCAATGCCAGCACTCTTGTCAAATTGGGGTGTGTTAGGTTTTATCTCTCTCCTTTGTACAGACTTTGCTGAAGAGATTTCCTTTCATATCTTTGCTTCTTTCAGCAGATATATGATTAAGTCTTTCCTGAAGGGGAAGAATTTTTTGTTGGCAATCATTGCTTACTTCCAATATTCATAAATAGGGGGCCCCCATCTCCAGAACTTCATGAGAATTCTTACTTATTACCTTGACTCTTCTGTGTTGAAAATTTTACTGGTTACTATCTGAAACGCAGAATGCTATACATGCACACATGGAAGAAAACACACCTTAATCATGTTTTATTTCATTGTTGCAAAAATTTTGACACTACAATAATCACAGATGCTAATGATAAAACAGTAAAGGCACAAATATGTGCAGAAAGCACTCTCTATTAATTTCTATGACTTAGGGTTCTTTATTGGCCCTATGAGATCTTTTTTCTATTCTCAGTAGCTGTTGTGATTGCTTTGGTTGGGGTTTTAAGTGGAGGGGGACAGGGGGGCAGGAGCTCGGGAGAACAGGGGACAGGAGAGGGTGGGAAGTGGGAGAACAAGGGACAGGAAGCTTAAAGCCAGGTTTCTGATCCTCTTGATTAACCTGAAGGAGCAACATAATGAAGGGTGGGAGTTGGGAGGCAAAGGGGCACAAAAGTGCGTGAGGTGGGAGAACATGGCACAGGAAGTGGGAGACTCTGACCCCCCTGTCCTGTCTCCCCCACCCTCTTTTTTTTAAGACACTCATTCAAAAAACCACATTATTATTATGGATGTGATTGGCCTTTTTCTCAGCCTTATCAATGTTATAATCAAAGGAACTAATTCTTGTTTACTTTCCTCTCCGTTTTAGAGGTTACAAGTTTTTCAAGTGGTGATCAAGCTAAACATAGTGAAAACAGCTGACAAACACAAGCATCCTCCACATTCTTGTCCTTCGGCAGTGATTTGGTGTTTAGTCCCAGCAAATCTTGTTACCTTTGACCCTTTAACCCCTAAGGGTGACCAGGATCTAATTTCTCCTTACTGTAATATTGCTGAATTAAAAATTAAGATCATGAGAAATAGAAAAAGATCACCAAGCTAAGAGGCTGTGATTGTGAATTTAATTCTCCTTGTCAGTTGCAAAGGAAATGTATAGAAAGGAGTGTAAATAAATAAAAACAAAAAAATTGAATGGTTAGGAGTCCAATAATGTTATGGCTCATGATCCTTAAGAAATACTATTCTGAAACAAACTTACACTAAGACTGGGTAGTTTAGTATTACAAACTGAGTTGAAAATGTAAATTGGCTACTGTAAAGAGTTTAAAGCTGACGCTTTGATCACTCTGACAAAGGGATAATGCTCTAAACATCAGCTTTTACACTCTTTATGGTGGTCAATTTATGCGATCAACTCCGTTGATAATACTAAATTACCCTGTTGTACTCTTCTTACTGATGCAGCACCACAGCTTCTAAATAAACTTACCCCCCTTTTATTCATTTGATAATAAGACCATTGAAGAACATAATGATCAGATCTATGTATGTATATTTACTTAACTGACCACTGCCCCAATGAGGCTTTTCAGGGCCAATACAAGCAAATTGGGAACAAACAACGCAACTAAATAAAATTTTTTTAAATCTCAACTGACAGGTGTCAGGCCAGTTGGCTAGAGACAGAGCGCAGTAAAGGATTTGAACTTGGGACAACTGAGAACAAATCCAGTAAGTGGGAAGATAAAGGGCTTGAACCCAGGACCCCCAGATTACAAACCTAGCGCCCAAGCTTCTTAACTGCACTGTCTCCAGATGGAAAACAAAGAATCCTCACAATTGACTTGTTCACAACATGTGCCTTTGAAGCTTTGTTGGTTATAGTGCCCTCTTGGTATATGGGAGGGGACATGTGGGTTGGATTCTTAAAGGCTAATGTTTTGTTTAGACAGTCTTTTTCTGCAATGACTTAGATTGTGAAGATAGATTTGTCTCTTGAGTGATGCCTTGCAAAGTCTTTGCAAATATTTAAAGGAGGATAGATATAATAATAATAATAATAAGCTTTATTTCAACTGATAAGACTAATCAGCAATCTAATAGATTGGCTGGTATGAACTAGTAATCAGCATGATAAATAGTATCAATCAAAATCAAAGGAGAAACCCTATAAAGAACTAAAGTATGAATTAAAATAACATAAAATATATAGAAAAGCTAATACTTATTTTAAACTACATAAATGATTAGATTTATCGTGTTCTAAAAAATATTAAAAAACTATCGCCTTAAATTTAGATAAAGACTGTATCTCTCGAATGTCCTTTGGTAAAAGATTCCACTCCCTAGCAGCAGTACATTTAAATGACGTTTGACCCACTTTGGTCTTTGTAGCAACAATGTTCAATAAGGTAGAGTCTCTAAAATCTCTGGTATGAAAGGCTGATCTCTTAAGGAGATAGTTCTCTAATTGCTGTGGGCAATTTATATTATGTATAAGTCTCAGGAATCTACGTCTACTCTCCAATGATAATAAGGAAAGCTTACTACGCATTTCT